CTCTGTAAAAGCACGTGCTGTCAAAAGCGACGGTTGCTTCAGCGACACCAACGTCCTCGCTCTCGCTCTCACACGCTGCTCCAAGTAAGCAGGTGCATATTTGGCCAAATCAGCGTTCTGGGGCTTATCGGTCGTCGGTCCATCATAGAAAGGACACTGCGAACTGTCTTTTCTGTGTCCCACCTGCTGACAATTGCTGCAGCGGTGTGGACGATCCTTGTCTTTGCTACGCCGCATCTTGGACCGCGACACTCATTGAACATGTTCAACATCCACGAACTGAGCGACCGGCGTCGCACCGGGGGGGGACGGCGTAGTAGTAGTAGTAGTAGTAGTAGTAGTAGTGGTGCTAGTTGCAGTAGGACTAGCAGAGGAGCAAAGAATTCATCACAGCAGTAGCAGACGATCCTTGTCGTCGACTTCATGGCCCGGATATCGTCGCCGCCATCGCCATCTTTGCTGTCGCCATTGCGGCGGTGGCGTGGCGGTGGAGGTGGTGGCGGTGGTGGTGGTGGGAGAAATTGGCGAAACAGCAGCAGCAAGTGCAGCAGCTTCCTGAGCCAAGGGACACGATGGACGAGAGCAGTGTCATTGCCAATTGCATCACCTCAGAGGCGAGGGTCCAGGGCTCACCTGGCGGTAGAAGTAGAGGAAGGTAGAAGGTTACCGGGCAGATCGTGGCACCACAAGCCTGGAAGCCCGAAAGCTGACTGTGACCGACTTGTGTGGCAAGCAGCTGCAGAGCTGAGGAAGTAGATCTTGACGATGGCCGGCCTGAGATTGGTGGCATAGCTCTCTCGGAGGAAACCCGGAGTGCGTGCAGAACAGGCAAGCCCAACTCGCCAGGTCCTCTTTTACGCAATTCCCTGCTGTGTTTGGTTTACAAAATCCGTGCCGGGCTGCATAAACTGCAAGAACTCCGCTTGTGGGAACACGATGTGCGCGTACGATACCAATGACGGCACCTGAGCCACCAATTGCCGGAAGCCACGTCTGGTCATGGGCAGATGTGTCTACAAGGTGTATCTTTGCCATGCCCACATGAGTGAGAAGGGGAAGATTGGCGCAGCTGTCGCAGCTGTCGCAACTTGCTGTAGTAAGCTCGTCGATCTCGCAGCTGAGGCCGTCGCACACACGATCCTCAGTTCGGGCGCCGCTATCAAGGTCCAAGCCCTCGGAGACACCCACGAAGCTCCATGCACGAAGCTTCCACGCTCAATCCCCAAGCCGCGAAACCTTTTAGAGCCCAGCTTGCCAAAAGCCTCAGAAATCAAGGCAAGGCTCAGGTTCACCAAGCCGTAGAGGACCCCGGTGAGGTGGTCTTGGCCCAGATAGTCCATGAAGCGCCTGGCTTCAACACAAAAAGGGTTCTGTTTCCGGGCTTTGGGGCCATCATTCCGAGCATCCCGTGCCACATGCTCTCACAGCCGAAAGAGCCCTGAGACCCTAAACCCTCAAGGAGGCTGCCTGAGGTTGATAGGGACCTTGCCCGTCTGCATTTCAATGTCGATTAGATCTCGCCACCTGGTGGCGAGCTGAGGTCGTCAATGTCTTGGGCGCGGGTAACTTAAGTCTGAATTCAGCTGGCGGCCCTGGTCTAAAGATCTCCTGTGATAAGGCCCACTAGAATCAGCATCTTGCTGGTCAAAGGAAATGCTTGGATACCCGTCCTGCTCACTGTCACCATCTCTAAACCACTTAAGTGTGGACTCATGAGGTCTTGGACTGCTACTGCGGAATCAACCGTAGGAGTGTGCCAGAATCCTGCACTCTCGGCGCACCAACACCTGCATCACGTCTTGTAAGTGCCTGTAAGTCGGGATGCTGTACCTGACGAACATTTCAAACCAGAAACTATCCGACGGGAACAGATAAAGCTTTTGACTCGGAAAGCTGCGTGTTATCTCTACAACCACGCTTCGCGACAAACAGATCGGACGGAAACGATGTTCTGAGCCTCCAGGACTAAAGCATCCCCTCAGATCCTACACCCTAACCAGCGGTTGTATGAGATTGGGATTGAGATGCTGGTGATTTCGAAAAGGCATGAAAAACGTTCCTCGCGTCCTAAGCCTATGGCTTAAAGCTCAAACCCTAAAACCTACACCCGAAAGGCCCTAGACCCTAAAGCCTAAACCGTAAGTAAACCCGAAATGGGAATCGTTCGCATGCCGGAAGTGTCAAAGCTAATATCTGAGAGTCTCTCTGTTTTAGGATACATGGGGGGGCTTCACCCGTAAACCCCGAAATGCCCAAAGTAGGGCCTGGGAGCCCCATTAACCACACTGACTTTGAATCGAGCAGCGACTCCTTGCCTTCGATCTGGTCCTACGGGAAGAGAGAATGCGCAAGCTGCCGCTCTCGCTCGAGGCTTGGGGTCTTGGATTTAAGACTGTAGAAGTGTAGGAGTCATTCAAGACTGCGGGAGTTTGGTCCTTCGGGGCTGCAGGCCAGTGCGGTCATGCTCTCATTTGCGGGAGTTTGGAGTTTATATAGGGCCTAGGCATAGGGTTCCGACAAGGTTCCGAAGTGCTGAGGTGACCTTCCGAGCGCGAACAGTGCTGGGGCTTTGCACGTAAGCCAAGGACTCTCTACACCGTCTTTCTGTTCTTAGGAAGCACTCTCGCTCGCGGCGTTGTTTCCGCTTCGCCCGCCACCCTTTGAACCGCCGCCCCGAGCCACTGTCGAATGTCCTGTCGGATGAGATTCGCGGGCATCTTTGGTCCGGCCTTCAGGCGAATCATTTTCTTAGGTTGCTGGGCAGAATGCAGCTTGTGCAGGACCATTAAGATGGTGCCCCTCTTCGGAATCCGGAAGATCACCGACAGCGGAAACCCTCATAATTGCATCATGCGGTGGCAGCACAATTTCGGGATGACTTACGGCAGGCCTTTGAGACAAGAACGTCTCTGAAGAGCCGAACAGCCGGCGGGGCGAAGGATACCGTGGATTTTGTATCGGTGTGTCAGAGCCCTTGCCTTGTCGATCCTAATCATGGCTGTTCTTCCAGGACCCCACTGAGTGCTGCAGGATTGTTTGAGTGCTGTACTGTCCCCAGAATTTATAACGAGGCTTGACCCCCGCAAGTCCCTAAATGCATCCACCCTTGGACGACAGGTGTTAAGGAGACTTGCCCCGACGTCGCAGCATTGACATGTCTGCTCGCGGAGCCAGTAAGCTGCAGCATGAGAGGGCAAGATGCTTGCACTCCTAAGTTCGACGCAGCTGCTACTTCAACCTTACGAACAAAACCTAAGCTCTGGAGCTCTCAACTGAACTTTCCAGGGAGCTCAAACCCAGGAAACTTGCCAGCAGCAACAACAACAACAACCGACCAACCACCACAACGGCAACGGCAACAGCCACCCGACAACAGAAATTGCAACAGAGTTGCAGCACGGCAGCAGCAGCGGCAGCAGCAGAAAGTGCAACACCAGTCCTCACTGCATTTCACTTGATATTGGTGATAGCAATCACACAGTGATTGCGCACCGCAGGCAGTGCTGCTGCGGATACCAGCAGTTGAAAAATCAGGTTGAGAACCGTCAAGATCAGAGAAGACATAGTTTTCGTCTCCCTGCTAAACATATGACTGCATGTGATTACCGTGATCAGTGCGATTCTCAGCAAGTGTGGCGCTACAAGCACACTCAACAACAAACTCTAGTATCATTACCTTCACACGGGCCGACGACGGCCTGCTGCTCGTGTAATGGTCGTTTGGAGCTACGCTGCGTATTCTTGCAACTGAAATGCTTTCTACTGGCATTGGTGCAGTTTTCCTAGTAGTAATTGTCGGTCTGCGTGGGTCCTGGCATGATTGCCGTGTGGCCATCGTCGTCATGCTTGCTGCTCGCATTGCTGATGTTGGTGCTGCTGCGATGCCGCTGGCGGCATCCGCATCATGGCCGTCGTTACAATCAACATCACGATCATCCTTGTCATCACCAGATATATTGAAGTCACGATTGTTGTTGTCGTTGCTGCTGTTGCTGTTGTTGTGCCTGTCGTTGCTAGTCTTGTTGTGTTTGTCGGCGAGTTCCTCATTGTTGCTGATACGTTCATTGTCGCTGCTGTTTGCTGGATTTCTCGGCTGAAAGTCATGCTGCCATTCACTTCTGGACTGTGTAGCTATAGAGAGATCATTGACAAATATGTCAACCGTGCAGCTTGCTTTAACCTATGCGCTCTCCACGTATGCCTGCTTGTCTGTGTTCACTGCTCTGTCACTCCGCTGGTGCATCTCGTCCTCACATGCACACATGTGCATAGTTACACCTATACATGTCCACACAGACACACACGCACACACACACACATGAGTCCACACGAGTGATGGCAAATCTTCAGTGTCTGAGCGCTTTTTGTTCGCTTGAGGCTCGGGATCCCGACTGACGTTTACATAAGCAGCAGAGCTTTGCCCATGACCCCATGTTGGGGCCATTTATTGACCTGCCGGCGTGCCTGTGTGCGTCCAAAGCGTCCTCTGGAATCAGCGCGACTTTTGCCGCAACCCTGACAATTAGATTTTAAAACACTCTGACGTCTGTGACCAACCCAAGCTTGCGACACCTCCCGTTCCTCGAGGCAAACCCCTGAAAATGATAGTGATGCAGAAAAGCCCTGGAATAAACACCCCACGCGAACACCTCAACTGTAGCGGAGCAAGGCCTGCACCCCCAATGGACCTAACCCGAAACCGCTAAATCTTTAAAAACCAGTTTTGGGTTACCCCTCATTCCGGCCGCCCCATCTGGGGCCGCCCTATGACTTCAGCAATGGGGTAACCGGAATGCGGGGTGACCCAAAACTGGATATTAACCTTAAACCCCGAAGCGTATCCCCAAATCTCAAGAAATCATAAGCCCCAGATCCCAAGAACCAAGAAGCAAACAAACCAAAGCCAGACCGCGGCTCGTCCAGAGGGCTCGTGCGCTACGGCTCACCGAGTCGGCTTTGCTCCTTTCAGCCGCCGAATGTCTAGTTTGTTTTGTTGCCGGGGTGATGCAAAAAAACAAACAAGATTCAGAAGCATGCCAAGTTTGGGGTTCGGGTTCAACGACCATTATGGTTCGAGGTTCAGAGCGGTTTGGGATTTGGACGCCAACGATCGCTATGGCTGTTGGATAAGAAATACAGCCAGTGGGGAGACATGTGTGTGTATATATATATACATATATATATATA